GCCTGTGCCTGCGGAGAGTAGTTGGAGGCAATGACCTGAGCAGACAGACACAGGCTCGAAAACGGATGGCGGTGCTCGCCATGGCCTGGCACACCAGAACGTATAACAACGTAAAACCGACGTGCATTTCAGTGTATCAGACTGTATGCCTTCCAAGGGGCGTTGCTGATGTTGTCGCGTTCTACTGCCTCCCGGAACAGAGCTGACCTGGTCCGGCTGCAGCGGTCGAGCAGGGGTGGAAACAGCCGCTCCGAGACAGGGAGCTGCCGGGTGAAACGGCGGCTGAGAGCTTCTGCATCTTCTTTCAAGGAGGAAAGCTGCTTGGTCCGTTCCTTGATGTCCTTCCTCCCCTTCTTTGGGAATGGGACCTCACCAATGGCCTCTATGGCCTCTGTGTGCAGAGGTTTCAGCACAGGCGTGGACCTCGACTTCCCCAAGCTTGTCTGGGGTGAGGAAGGCTCCGGGCTCAGCGTGCCGCTCGCTGCCATCTGCAGCCGTTCCTTCTCCCTCTCGGGCCTAAAAAGGGAGGTCTGGGACTTGGAAGTCTGGGCCATCCTCTTCAGAAGCTCTTCACCGGTGCTGCCAAACACGCGGTGCTCTGCTGTGACGTGGCTAGCCGACGGGCGAGTCGGATCCAGCGGTTCGAAGGTGATCGTCTGGCTCTTCACCTTGATCTGACCAATGCCTGGAAGATCCAGCTGCACCTCCTGTGACTGCTGCACAGCCGACCAGAACTCCTTCACCACCGACTGGACCATCTCTTCAGCCACATCCTTCTGCAACCCGACAGCTGATGCAATCTTCTCCAACCGGACTTTTGAGATGGGCCCGATGCCGGGCCCGGGCCCCTCCCAATGCAAGTCCGGGGGCACGACCTTTTCTAAGACCTTGAAGCGCATGGTCCTCGGAGGTCCTGTGTGGCTGAAGAAAACACCTAAGTTGGGCACGTGCACCGTCCGACCCAGACTCACCTGCTGAATGAGGTAGGTGCAGAGGGCCTGAAAAACTTGCGTCACATTCTCATGATATCTTGCTTCCTCCTCTGGGGCCGAGCTCTCGTGGAACGTGGCCATATGCTCCAAAGCGCGAAAAGGCGCTCCGGGGCAGTCGAAGGAAGCTACTAAGATTTAGCCTTCTTCGGCTGAGAGCCATAGTGACGCCAAGGGGTCTCAAAGACTGAACTTAAATGAAAGCTTCAAGCAAGGTCGCAACTTTGCAACGCCTTATAGCTCTTCTAAGGGCTCCTCTTAGCTCCGGGACTCACCATGAGCACTCCGCGGACGCAGCATGTGCAAGCACAACGACAACCCCACCTTCGCCTTGAAGAGAACTGCGGAGTGATGTCGAAGACACCTCAGCTCTCTTTTTCATTGCCCCCTCTGCCGCTCTTTTGGCCCAGAGCTGGCTCAAGAGCTGTAATTAGCTCTCAGCTCCCGCCTACAGCTGTCTCGTCCAGCAAGCAGATGTGAGCATGGAAGGCCATTGATCCCAGCCTTGCCAAGCCAAGCTGAAGCTTCTGGAGATCCAGTAAGCCAGTAGCTTTTTGCATTCGTATCACTCGCAGACTGGGGAAGGCACAGATACAGCAAAGAGTTCACGAAATGCAGCAGCGCCACAACCTGAGACAGAGAGGCTACCCCCGTCCTTGGACCCCAAAACCAGTCGTTGTTGTCCCGAACTGTGATGAGCTCTTGGGCTCTGCGCCATATAACAACTATACATCACTAAGCAGCATTATTGCTGACATACGCGCGCACTGATAGATTGATCCCCTCAAAATCTACTGAGAACTTGGGAGGAAACAACAGATGTGCTGCAACCACAAGCTTGAGTTTCTTTTAGTAGTCGTCTTCCTTGGCAGGAAAACCGCATGCTGCACGCCGCACATCCGCGTGCTTGCACGGGCAAAGCGTCACACCCCGTCGTCCAGGAGCTAAGAAAGTGTGGGTTGCTTCGGGAACTTCGCAGTTCCAACTTGCGGTTTCATCTGAAACTGCACAAAAGCCGGCTGGAGAAAGGCTTGGCCTACATGCCCAAAGTTAACACCCACACGCACGCACGCGAAGGGCTCTTGGGTGTACCATCACTTGCGGCCAAGCCACGTTCAGCGCTGAAGGTGAAGCCGACAACCGCGTAAAAAGGGAGCCCTGATCACCTCAGCAAGAACAATCAATAATCGTCCATACAGTCAATACATTCAATGCATATGTTGTTTTGCCATACATGGTGGGGCCTCTGGGACCCCCGTGGCTTAGCCCGCCGCTACTAACGCAGATCGGCTCAAGGGCAAAGATGCACGTGATGAGCACAAAGCTGAGCATAGCAGAGCCTTAGGAAGGCTAACAATGCTCATGGGATGTCAGTTAACTTGCCCAATCCGAGTCTGGCCCAATCCACTTGCCGGGCAACTTCTCAGATGAGTAGAGAGCTGCCGGCTAGCGAAGACCTTGTCCCAGCTTTTCGGTCACGACAAGAGGCGACAGCGGTGCCCACATTTGCATAAGACTATCTTCATTGCTGCAAAGCAGCATGCCAGGTGGTGCTCTGCGGAGAGGAAGGTTGCAGCTTCGAACAGATCCATTGCATGAATGTGAAAATCTCTTGATTTCGCTCCTGGGTTCGGGGGCACATGCTGCTTCAGGCGTAGCTCCATGCCACAGATACTTGTCAGGCCCCACATGCTGCTCTTGCACCAAGGCACTTCCCTCCGGCGCATCTTTGCCCGAGTACAGAAAGCTATTCCCAGCTCCTCCTCCTCAACCATGGTAAAACCTTTCTGAAACCTTGCGCAGGGTTTGTGTGCAGTGCTCAGCGACCCCGTTTAGCCTTGCTCTCTGCTTGGGGCCTGTTTCTCCCATCAACGGAATTGTTCGAGGATGCTGAGTTTCGACCTCATTTACAAAGTCGGCCACTTTTGCCAGGCCAAGCAGCTCCCAACATGCAGGCAAGACTAAGCCACCAACGATCACTTGGAAAGATTGACTCGGCAACACTGCCGAGGCTCCACCGACGACCTCGTGCAAGAGCTCTCTTACATGAGCTGCAGGGATGCTGCTGGCTGCTTATTAAGAAGGGTAAGAGAAGAGACCCGTAAGCTGCACACCAAAAACACTGGTACGATTCGTGATCTGCAGCTTGCCCAGCCCGGCAAAGATGGAACCTGGTGCCACGAAACGGGAGAAGAAACAAAAAAATCGATGAAACTGAGGACCCTGGAAGGGATCTCTTTTTGAAGCCCTCTTGCGAACCCCCTGTGAGCCTTTTGAGGGAGTGGCTGACCACTCATGTGTGAGTGTAGATAATCTCTGTATAAATACTTACATGTATGTATGTACGTATGTATGTATGTATGTATTATCACCATTAATATTAAAATTAATACTAATACTGATATTCATATTAATGGTTAATATTAGAAAATGGGATGCTGTAGGAGTGCACTTTTTTCACAAGAAATACTCTAATATTACTATTCGTACTAATATTCACATTAGCATATTTTTTCACAAGAGAGAGAGAGATAGATATATATAGATTTAGCTGGACTACATGATATAATGTTATATATATATATATACATCTTATATATAGATATATATATATATATATCCTATATCGTATGCGGGTATTTTATACTATATAGTATAGATTATATGCTATTTCTTGGAGATTATGTCGCATTTCAAAATATATATATATATATATAGAGAGAGAGAGAGATATATATATATATATATATATATTCGTATCGTCTTATGCGTTATTCATTATAGCTTACATCTTACCTCTGATGTTTTATTGCGCTTTGTGGCTTTACACGCGCACTTATAAGGGGCCTTTTGGCTCCCGCGGCGCAGCTGGAGGAGGCGTCGTTGCCGAGTTGGAACCGCTCTCGGCATCACTTCCGTGCGCCTTTTCCTGTGGAAGAGCTGGGTTTAGGGTTTCGGGTTTTGGGTTTGGGGTTTAGGGTCTTTGCACCCGCATAGCTGGACGAACACCTCACAGGGAATCCACACTATCAACACGCCAGACTTAGGGTTTCGGATTCTGGCCTCAACTTGACCGGGAAATACAACTGCTCTGACTTGGTACCTGAACATTTCCTGCCCCGACAAGGCGTAGCTCCTCATCATCCACCTGATTTGGAAGGCAGACCGTCACAGTCTTGACCTCAGGAGGACTGCATGAAGGAAGCAAGCCCCCAGGGTTTCCCCACCAGCTGCCTGCTACGTGGATGCAGGGCCTTGTTAACAATGCTTCGTTCAAGTGGCCATAGGTTTTGTGGCTCCTGCAGTGGCACCACTCCTTGGATTGTTCAGGTCAGATGCACGGCTCGGCACTCTGCCTCATCAAGTGCCATAAGCTCTAAGTCCAGGAACTCACTGGCCACCAGAACCCACTTTCATAACGGACCTTCAGCTCTCGAAAGCTCAAGGAGAAGCCTTTCGGCATCTTGTGCATCCTGCGCAAGCCTTGACTTAGGTTCAGACGGAATAGCAGTCAACAACCCTTAGGGTGAGTTGACTCGAGCATCCCATGCTACTCTGGCTAAATCTTTTGAGCCAGAGCTGAAGCACAAAAATCACTCCACACAATCAAGTTGTTCAACACAGTTCTGCAGAGCTGTGGAGCTTATGAGCTTATGCATCTTCTGATTCCATGACATCCAAAGGTGGCTGGACTGAGCAGCTGCATGTAAAGTCATCGCCCGCCTTTGAGAGGCAGCTTCAGGCATCATGCGCGTGACCGTGAGCTATGTGTCAGTGGCACAAGGTATCTCGAAGGGGAAGCAGGAGTGAACGCTTCAACCCTGCTATGTTCTTGGACACAGATGGAGCGTTCACGGAACCGATACACTTGCACATACCTGCATATATATATATATATACCTGTATATATATATATATATACCTGCGTCGCCTGCTCTACGAATGCTTGGCGCCTCCTGCGAGCCTGAAGCGGCAAATGCCAGCGTGGAGTAAGAACCCCAGACCCCTCGCCTGGGAGAGCTCGAGGTCCTTGCCACATCTGTGTTCCAATGACTCGAGGGAATGCCCTAAACCCTTAACCCTAAACCCTAAACCTAAACCCTAAACCCTAAACCCTAAACCTGGCCTCCTGACACTTGGCGGCCTTTCGCAAAGCTTCCCGGGCCTGCCAAAACACTTCGGGTGTGCCAGCAGACAGCAGCTCTTTTTCAGCAAAGCGTGGCATGTCAGAGCAGTCCGTCAAGCACAGCTCTCTCTACATTTCTCCGCGCCGGCGGAGATTTTTTGAAGGGCAGCCTCAGCGCATGAAACCTCCCGGTGACACAGAAGCATAAGCCGTAAGCTGCACTTCTCCGCTTCTTAGGGCCCGAGAGGAGCACATTTCCTCTCAGATTCTCAGACTCCGAGTGCCGAGTTCTCGAGGCGCCGGCTTGGGAGGAGCCTCTTCTGTGACCTCCGAAGCTTCCCTGAAGCTTTCTGGGGCGAATCAACCGTAGAGCCGCCGGTAGAGGAGGAGGTACTCGGGAAACACCTGGTCAACCTGCGGCAGAACAAACTCGCGATATGTTCCGCATTGCTTCTCCAAGTCCCCCACGAGGGAACTGCAATGCTCCAGCTTCAGCTTCTTCCGCAAGCTGTCAGGATCACTCGTGTCAGAAAGGGCGCGCTGCGCACCCAGAACTCTCCCAAGGACCACGCGACAGAGTAGCATGGGGAACAGCTGGACACGCCTCCCCGAACTCCTGAGCCCCACATCACCCAGCACGCCCTGATCGCTTGCGTACTCGTCGGCTTTGGACGCGCACTCGGAGAAGTAGATTCCCTGCGCAAACATGCATTTCCGGCGCGGGCCAAATCGGGCTTGCGTGCTCTGGCCCGCCAGGTCCATCAGGAATCCTTCCCTTAATATTTGGCCAGCAGACGTCATGCTAGTACCATGGAACAGGTAGCACTCGTTTACTCTGGGATCTTCGCCAAGATCCCGAAACCTCTGAGTCCGGACAGGTGGCTCCAGCGTGGGGCAGCCCAAAGGGTTTCTCGCAGCAATTGAAGCTCGTCTTTCAAGGTACTTGTCCCACAGTTTGGCCCTGGAAGCCCCGGAAGCCACAAAAGCCTCACGTAGCTTCAATCGTCCTGGCATCCGCCCCTTCCGGTCGCAAGAGCGGCGCCGCAAGAAAGTTGTGTCCAGCAGAGATTGCAGCCGCTCGAGGAGACGTCTGTGGCCGTGTTGGCCGGTGCGGCCCTCGCCATGCTCTCTGATGTTCTTAAGATGCGTGTGGCGCGATGCCCTGACATCCCTCACACGCGGCCTGCAGAGTTTGCAGAGCGTGCCATGCAGGCTGCCTACCGGACCTACCGTAAGCCCAAATTGGAGCTGCATGCTGGCAGATGCCGGCACACCCTCGGAGCCAAAATGAGCCAAGCGAAGCATCAACGAAGATTGAGGAGATAGGGAATTGGGTCAATGGGCAAGCCCTGCACGTATTCCTCATGTTCGCAGTCCCACCTGCGCTGCAGCGCCTTGGGCTTGCACCAGGGATGGACTACTGACTGCCATCTGCCATCTAAAGCGCCCCCCAAAAAGCCGGGAACCTTCCGGAGTTCGCTGAAGTTGAGGCCAGGACTCTCCGCCTCGGCCTTCTTGGCCGCCAGATCGGCTTGCAGTTCCCTCACTTTGCAGCATGGCGCAGGGGTGGGAAGATGTGCTAATGCCAATCACAGCAACATGCCCTTGCAATTCCGTCCGTCAGAGAAGCATTCGTCTGGCCATGGGGAAAAACGCCCCATCCAAACTCAACACCCCTCCAGTGATACTTCCGGCAGCATCCGAAACTCCTGTGGCATGACATTAAAGTCTGGGTTTCGCGCTTCTTCTTCCGCCTCTCCTCCGACAAGGCCTGGACGCCAGAAGCAGTCCGAAGAAAGACTCGCCCCGCTCAGCTAAACCGCCATCGGAGCACGTCTGTACTGCTTAGTGCAGGCTGAGGAGGAGCTCAGCTTCGCATCAATCTAGGGGGCGGTGTTTAGAGTCAGCACATGCTTTCTGTCAGATTCGACATGAAAATCTGCTGCAGGGACTGTCACGCTTCCGAAAGAGTGATCATGAGCACGAGAAATTGCACGATGCGCTTCTCATATACCCTAAACCATAAACCCTAAACCCTTCACAGCAAGTACTGTCGGTCAGAGAGGGTCCACTCATTGGCCCGTTTTTGTGCAGCTCTGATCTGCCGCGCTTTTCGTATTTCTCTCGGTTTCTCTTGCCTTTTGGGGGCTTGGGCAGCGCCGGGCCAGGCATGAGGCGGTGGGGGGGGGGGGTGTGGACTCCCGCGCCCACCCTTCGGTGTTCTCGGCGCCAAGGTGCAGACCTTCTCCAGGTCTTGGTATTCTTGCCGGAGCCTGGGCTCTCCAGCGATTCATGAACCCCAAAAAACAAACGGAAGCAGCTAGGGCAGCTAGGATCCAGACTTCTTCTCTGCCTAATCAGCGTAACTCTGACGAATGGATCAACGATGCTCAGATATTGGCAGCAAGGCATCCCCTGCTGATGGCCCATGAGTTTTGTGACGAAACCCTAGTCGACTTCATAGACCCGATGCCTCAACAAAACACCTTGCAACACCGCAACATCCGAGTGCCTGCAGCGCCTCGCCCTGCGCAAGGGGGAGTGCGGTCCGGGAGGCAGACAAGCGGGCAGGAATGCTTCGTCAATCGTGACTTCTGCACCAGCTGCCAAGATGTGTCAAAGGAAAGCTGGGACGATCCAACAGATCCAAACCCTAGGCCAGCTCGCGAATTCTCATCCTATTCTTCTTCTGCACTGGGCATGTGGGCAGTCGACAGACCTGGGAGAAAATGGCTCTTTCCTCGGGTACGCCACGTGGCATGCTGCTGACCAAAGTACATCCTCCTCAAGGCCCTTTTGGGTTGGAAGGAGAAACGGGCACAAAGGCACGAAACACAAAACCCTGACTTTTGATTTGTCAGGATCAGCTGTCTTGCCACCACGTCTGCACGAAGCGAGTTGAAAACGGAGCAAACTGCTGATCAAAGAGTTCGTGAATGCCCTCCTAGATGAGTTCTGCAGGTTGCTTCCAGGTGGAAACTCAGCCTGCTTGGCACTGCGGCGTGGGCACAAGACAAGGACGGCCGTCACGGCTTGGTGAGTGACAGTCACTACTACTGAGCTTAACGCTACCGAGTACTACTGCATTATGCAGCTACACAAAAACAGTCAAATCGTTGGACTGCAAGTCAATTATTGAAAACCGCTGCCTCGCTGCAGGAAGCTTGCATCCGGCATTCCCATTAGCAGAAGCTCTCTGGCAAATTCCCGCATGCACAAGAGGTGCAAACATGGCTGCGTGGTCATTTAAATTTCAAGATTCCCGTCATCCAGTGCCTGCACTCAAGCTGGGGAAGGAATCATGAGTCACAGCAGGAAACTGCTACTGCGACAGGATGAATATGCGTTCCAAGACTCTCGAGGTTTTGGATCGGATTGCCCCCCGCACCGGTGTTGGTGCTTGTTGAGGTCATCGTCGATGTACTGGTCATGGTCGTATGAGTTCTCGTGGTGGTGCTCACTGTGGTCGTGCTCAGAGTGGTGGAGGTCGTCACGCCAGTGGCCTCACTCCGGGGGACCCATTTTGGGTGGCCACGGGGCCCCTGCAATTGAACCATTGAAGCATTGAACCTTCACACCCACCTTTCAATTTTCCTGCCAAGAGTCGCTACAAGCGATGTATGATGAAACCTCCAGGGCACGTTTGGGAGCACATCTGCGGCCACTTGAGCGAGCTCGATGCCTGCTTGAAGGGATGGTAAGCGATAATGTCCCTCGACGGGCAAGACTGCCATCCCGGCCAGTTTGCACCTGAGCTGAGACTCCAGCTCGTGGAAACACGACCTTTCGCCAGCTGCGCCTTGCCCAAGTTCCGTTACCGCCCCAGCTCACCCAGCTGAGCGGCAATTCTCCTCGACCAACAGGTTTCCCACCTGGGTGACTGGCACTTTTGGGGTGCAAAGAACATGGCAACGAGTGAAGCAGACCAAGCCGACTCGACTCGACACAAGAGGAAGTGTGAAGGGGGAGCCCATCGACCTCGGAGTACATGAATTCTTCACTAAAGCCCCGAATCTTTGCCAGCTTTGCCAAGGCGAAGGACATTGAAGGACGAACAACTCTCAAGCAAGCCCCCTTGTTAACCATCAAAGCTATTCCCCCGATTGCAGCTACATCCTGGGGCCAGTTGCGAACACACGCTTCACGTGTCCAACGTTCATAAAGCACTGGTCCATCCACATGTCCTTTCATTGTGGGCTCTATATGAAATATGCCCCATAACTGGCCCATAACACTTGGCAACTGCTGCACATGACACAGTGCACAAGTCGAGCCTGAAGGCATCAGCTCTACGCCACACTTGCCTACTGATGGTCCTCTCCCCATTGCCAGTTTCCCCAGTCGTTCATGGACCAGAAGCATTGAAGGGCAACTTGGCTTCAGCGTTCCACAAAAAATGCCGAGCAGCCAAAAGGTGCCACAGTGTGCCACAGTACATGTTGCGAACACATGCCGAGCTGCTCTTTGCAAAAGTGCCTCAGCGGCAGCACCAATGCTTTATCCAAACTTCGGCAGGTAAAGAGTTCGAAGACTGAGGCTGGGGACTGAGAGCGGCCTGCGACAACACCTCGATGGGTCCGTGTAAGCCCTGGGGACAGTTGTTGAGATAGACGCCCGGCTCCTTCATTGGCTACTGACTACTGACTACTGACTACTGACTACTGACTACTGACTACTGACTACTGACTACTGACTACTGACTACTGACTACTGACTACTGACTACTGACGACTTGATACAAGAACAGGAGGCTATTCCAACTGCGCTCCTGGATCAGGTTCCCTGCCTCTTGTTGACGGAGAATGGGGAGAAGACGAGCTGGAAACCAGACTGTGTCTGGATCCACCTTCACGAACCAGTTCGCCTGGCAGACTCTCACATCCACACACTCTACCTGACAAACATCGGGTACACCCCAGCTAGAACCACAAAGCGCCTTCAAGTAGTCGCCATCTTGGATCACAGCTTTCCAAAATGCCAGGAACGGCCTTGGATTTGGAACAACATCAAACCGGGAAGTGGCCGAATCAACATCGCGATGGCCTCTTTCTGCGGCCAGGGAATTGAAGAAAGACGAATATCCGTGATTGACTGTGGAGCTCGAGATCATCTACAGGCACAAGGGAATATCTCACCAGCGGTTCCACGATCGAACTGCCCTTAGCGAACAGCCGACACAAAGTTATATCGGAATGCCAAAGCCGCTCGGTGTTCAACGCAGTGCCCCACTGGCCACCTGTTTCTGCGACCTGCGCAAGCTTTCAAGAAGTCAAACCAGCGTTCTGCGCACTGAGCGGGGGTCGACACAGAGTCCAAGAAGCGAGCGCACCTGCGAGGTGTTCATGATCCGCGTCACCAGCCCCGGTGCCAGCTCCAAGCGCTGGCTGCTGTACACCTGGGCCAACTGGCTGCTTATGAGTTCACGCAGACAAGATCAGACAAGCATTCCCTAGTGCTTCATATGACGCATGCAAGAGATTGAGGCGGGCCACGCCCCAAAGATCACAGGCAAAGATGCTGTAGTAGTTCCTGAATGCACAGCACGCAATGCTGCAGGTGCCTGCCGGAAGCGCCGCATGCGCTGTCTCGGAACTCACAAGGTCTGAGCCGAGGAGCTGGTACTGCATGAGCACCAGCTCAACCTTAAGATCGCCCGAACTGCAATGGAAAAATGCAAAAGCCTGGACGCATCCAACCGGGCGCCTCGTAGGAGTATGGCAAAATAACCATGGTACAGTACATGGAGGTAGCCGGGGCCGCCTGCAAGGCCTTCGACAAGGCAAGGTCTTCTTCTTTCTGCCTTCCTGCGCCTTCTTCTGTCTCTACCTCCCAAACCTCTTCTGAACTCATGTCTATTTTTCTCTCTCTCGTTCGCTCTCTCTCTCTCTCTCTTCCTTCCTTCCGTTGCTCGTTCTCCCTCTCTCTCTCTCGCTCATTTGCACGCTGGCTTTTCAAACCCTCCGAAGACGGAATTAAGCAAAAGAGCTCAAAGCTGGAAACACCTCGGTTCACTCAAGCTCACTCCCTGCCTTGGGTTGGGGCATGGTGTGCTTCTGAACTTCTTGACGAGGCCATGGATACGGCTGCTCCTGCAAGGTGGTTCCTAGTCGCACAGTGCATAAGATGCAGATGAGACTGGGCTTTGGTGGGCTGAGGTCCTGTGCACTGCATGGATAGCCGGCATAGACACCGGCCTCCGAGACGATCCATAAAGTCATAAAGAATCACATCACGCAGATGCCTGGATGCCACGATTCAAGCATGTAAGCTGCCTGAGCCTTTGTCACCAGATCCTTCTGCCTTGGTGACGTAGACAACTGGGAGAAAGCTGGCTTGGACGCGATACGAAGACATCCAGAGAGATCCATAGCATCGCTACAATGCACCACCACGGGGGGATTCAGGGCCAAGGCGCTTCAAGAAGCATCCCCAGCTGCTCCAAGCAAAGCCATGACAACCAGGATTCCAGGTGCAGGCCCTCTGGCAGTGTGCTGGCGACTCTCCACCGCTGGGATCCGGCCAAGTCACCTGGCTGTCGAGATCCTCGGGTGCCCGAAGCGTCCAACTACCCGCAGCCACTGCTAGGCAACTACCCCACCGCTACGTTTCAGAAAAGGAGCGGTGTTCACAAGTTGTGCCTTCCATGCCGTGAAAATACTTCGAGCAAACGCGGATACACGCGGCGAAGCGGGCCTTGCAGCGATGCTGGCCCTGCCAGATATGGAGCTCTCGGATTTGGTCGCGGCGCTTCACGAAGGCCCAGTGCTTGCCGATCCTAGTTCGAGCCATCACTCCCAACGTTAAGACGGCCAATCCTCTTAAGATCTAGCATGATGGAATGCTGTTTCGGTCTTCATGCCACATCCATGCCTATTAATCAAACTCCCTCCAAAAGGCATGCGCTGGTGGTACTCGTCGGTAATGCGCTTGTGCTCTGCGCACTTCTGCTGCTCTGGCGTTCGCTTCCTGTATGCACCAACCAACGTTGAAGAGGCTTAGGACGAGTCTTGCGGAGGAAAAATCGTGGTCCAGGTCCAGTTAAATGCCAAGATGCGCCAAGACCCATTTTTCCGTGGCATTTGATGAGCGCAGCCTCCGGTGATGACCTGCTCTACCCTGAGGGCGTGAGGCCACTCATTTGCTCTGAAAGATCACCCCCTCCCTTTTGCAAGCATGTCCCTAAGTAGGCAGAATGGACCCCATGTGGCTCCTTGCAATCATAACCGTGGGATAGAATGATTGCAATCTATCGCAATCACTTCGACCCCTCAACCCCCCCCGGCATCATTTGATAGGGTGCAGCGCCTGCCACCTCATCCGAGGCAACTCCTGCACTGCCAGCAGCTTTCGGCGGTGCTGGTGCCTTCACCGCGACCTCTTTTGTGCTGCACATCGTTTAGACCTCTTTACCTTTAGGGCTCACAATTGGCTCACAACTGGCTCACTCTGAGTTGTGTGCCCTGATCATGGTACCGGGTGCTGGTCCGCTATCGCACGTGAGCTTGGTGAAGTGGTCCCATGAGTCCTTGGTCGCCGTGCTACGTAGCAAGTCTCATAGTCCCGCGTGTCGATGTCAATGATGCTCTTCTCGCAAATCTGTGGCAGCCAGGTCGCTCTGACCATGTTGCCTTGCCCATCTCTGTGCCACAGCTGTGGCTTCCAGAGCTGCAGGTCAGGTGCGTCTGCTGGCGGGACTGCCTCGCGGCAAACTCAAAGACAGCACGGGTTTCCGAGCCTCATATGAACCTGTCGCGGTTATGAAAGAATTCAGAGTTGGGAGCACAAAGCCAGGCCTGTTGCAGGCCATGCCTTGGCGCCAGCGGAGTCTTCCAGCCTGTCCTGCTGTAGAAAACACCAGGGCGAGTGAAGGGGGCGCCTCTGACAACTCGACAGGAATGCATCGCCAGCCGACAGAGGTGTCCGGAGAGCTCCCAGATTCGCAAGGCACAGTGGGAGAATCCCACCGAGTGCAAGGATCGTGCAACACAGCTTTGCCGCCTTCAAAGCAGAAGCTCCTGCCAACACTCTCCATAATTGCTGGTCAGCTTGTGGTCTTCCACACTTCGTTGAACTTCACATGTTCGTGCCTGCTTCTGATAGGCACAGCTCATCGTCACGTGCCGCATTCGCACGCGATGCAAGCGATGAAGGGATGTGGAGTTCCTGGCAACTCACTGTAGCAGAAAGTGGCAGACTCACGCAGGCATCCCGAACCCAACCTCGTCGGACTCAACGGCCCCTTCGATGGGGGCATAGGGCCGCATGTGCCGCAAGGCTGGAGGGGCGTCTGCCCCCATGACTTCCACAATGTATCGGTTTGCAGTTCAAGCAGAAGACTAAGTGACAAGCATGTCTTGCAATCGTAGCGAGGAAGACAGGCTGAATCATGCAGATGATGCCTTTTACAGATGGGCTTGGCGTGCACCGACCAGCCAGAATCGTATGAAGAAAAGACATCCGACGACTACTGCAACCTGTCGAAGTCGCCTTACACTTTACATTCCCCAATCCATGGCACCGTGCTGCGCTCCCGCTCTAACATGCTCCAGCCCTCTGCCCGACACAAAGGTGCGCAAGCATCGCAAAGTCAAGTCCCTGGGAAGACCCTGGGACGGAGGCACCAACTCTTTGCGCAAGTTGTCATCCATGGTCGGGTCAGACACCTTCGCAGAGTCCTTCTGCCGGGCCTGGGAGGCACTTTCGGTCAAAACGCTTCGCCAGCACATCAAGCGATCAGCATTTCATGACTGGGAATGCCGGGCTGCTGCAGCTTTCTCGGCCTCACGCTTTATCGATGACCGGGTCTTGGGGCTATGCTCTGCTATGCTCACACTCTTCGCAGGACTGGCCAAGGTCGCCTCTTCCAGCTTTTCCTGCAACCCTTTGATCCGCGATTCTGCTGCTGCCAATTCCTTCAGTGAGCTGAGGCAGCTGAGGACGAGCGAGCTCCTTTCACGGCAGATCCGGTGCCTCCTTTGTCCTGGCAACGTCTGCGGTCAAGTCGTTGACCTTCTTCTGTGCCTGCAAAATCCCCCACTTGCCATCTCCAAAGATGCCAATGAGGAGCGCAAGAGACTGCAAGCATTCAGACATCTTCAGACATCCTCCGTCAGCTCGGCCGCACCTTTTCTGGCAAGAAATCATACAAAACGTCACGCCTGCAACCTTCGCTTGGCCCAGGGCGTTGCTTCAACTCCACTGCCGACTGCGCACCCTTGCCTGCAGCCACAGAGACCCACGCAAGTGGACCACATGTGCAGCCGAACGGCACTTGCATGTCACAGTCATCTTATTTATCATGCATTCTATCATGTTCCATCATGTTCTATCATGTTCTATCATGTTCTATTGCGATTCACTGCTCGCACGGGCTGCAACAACTCGCCGAGACACTCTGGGTCGACTCTTCGAGCCTCAAGTCAAGAGCACATCGTGCACAAAAAGGGTGCAAAAAGAGAGAAAAGAGAGAGAAAAAAGAGAGAGAGAGAGAGAGAGGCTGAGAGTCCGCTGCATTCTCAAGTAAAGCTCTTTCCCAAGAGAGTGACTGCTTCAGGCTCGCTTCCTTCTCTTCCAAAGCCTGGCGCAGTGTTCGAATCTCCTCCTCCGCCAAGGAGCCCTGGCGCTGCAAAAGAGGACACAAGGCTATCATGGATTTTTCAGGGGAGCATGTGTGGGGGGGGGGAGGGGGTTGCACAAGATGTAAACAGCAATACAGAAAGTTGACACCCCGCTCCTGGCGCGCAGCTTTGCTCCTGCAAGCTGCGCACTGCACCGTGGCAAGATACGTGAGGGTTTACGAAAACCAGGGACCCCGAATTTTGACCCCAAATAAGAGGATTCCCTGATAATAAGGACCCCAACAAGGTACCCCCTTGACTTCGGAAACCCACATACATCCAGTTGGGGGGTCCGGCCTCAGCTCCTCCGTCTTCTCCAGCTGCTCCCGAGCCCTCGGCATCTCTCAGAGGCTTCTCTCAGAGCCCTGCGGCTTCAGAGCTTCCCGCCACCCACACACTCGGCTCAGCACAGCTTTTCTGATGCTGCGAGGCGCTTGCACTCAATCTCAGCAGGGCATGGTCGTGCATACGGTCAATGGTCAATGTGTTCTGAGAACAGGCCAAGAACAAAGCCTGTGAGGTATGGAGGTCCTCCTGGATCTTGCGAAGATCGCCTCGCACCTGTGTTTCTGAAGCGACAGCGACTGAGGCAGAAAGGGCATTGCTGACAATCAACCGTGCCTTGACCAGCTCTTCCTGAAGCGCCTTGTCCGGCTTCTCGCGAGTGACCTGCACACGGCACAGCACAGCGCTTTCACCGTTGCCCTGCTTTCTTGTGCAGCTGCCCTCCCTCCACACCTAACTGCTTTGGCCCTCCCAGGTTGTACACCCCTGCTGGGCATCTAGAAAACGCTGTACTTGAGGACATGTCCTTGCAGAGTTCTCCTGTCACACATGCCTGGACTTCATGGTTCTGCGAAGAGGGCAGACGCCACTTTCCCTCGGGCCCGATACAAGCCTTTGCCTAAAGGTAAACTGCGTGAGGTAGGGGGTGGGATGTTGCATGGACGTTGGGAGGTAGCCGCAAGGGACGTGCCTGAGGGGCTATGAGCGGTTCGAGCCATCGGTCGGAAACCAGGAAACTCAAGCGCAACAAGGACAACAACGATCTGTTTCGAAGGAACCAAAAAAAATCCAGAGAGCCTTCTTGTCGGCACGTCTAGCATCTGGTCTTTCCTGGACACCAAGCAATGGCTTGTGGTTTGGCCAAAGCCAAAGGCACATTCAGCATCTCCTAGAGGTCCTAGGGGCCGGGCAATTTTCACAGGCGGGCCCTTCTGGTCGAGCTTGACCTGACAGTGCAGGATTTCGGCTTGCCCAGAACTGTCGGCTGCATTTCCCAGCAAGTTCGCATCCCATTTTACTCCCAGCTCGTGTCCCCAGAAGACCCGCGTCGTCTGTGGCTTTGTGCACCATCCTGACGTTGCTTGACGCTTCGTGCGGAGCATGGCGGAAGCACCTCTCGCTGAAGTGCTCCACAACGGCTACTGCGTTAAGTCCACCATGACGCCATCCATCACCAGTTCATCCGAGTTCGCTTGGCATTTCTGGTTGGACACGGCACGCTAGCAAGAAGAGTGCTGAGCATTGTTCCAGATTCCACGGTCCAGTTTGAAGCCGCTGCTCAAGAGACCACAGGCTTCGCTTCAAAGAGCGTGGCCAAGGAGGCATCCCTGCGCAAGCACGGCACTGCCCGTTTACATGCGACGCCAACACGTACAAGGGCCTCATTGGCCTTTGTGGGATATGTCAAATGCCAAGGTGCATGTGAACCATTGCATAGACAGAGTTTCCATCTCCTTTGCTCTTCACTCTAGTCCGGGCAACCGCACAAGTCAAAGTTCGTTTCCCCACACTGGGCAAGCGGTTTCAAGACCACAGGGCAGCAGGTGCGCAGGCGCCGGGGTCGATGCTTCTCAGATCTCGACGAGGATTTTAAAGTTGAAGTTGATTCTTTCTACGGCAGCCCACACAGGGAGCCCTGCTCTTCGATCTACCCTGCTTTGGGGCTTCAGGGTGTCGGGTTTAAGTTTTAAGGCTTTAGGGTTTCCACTTCCACTCGCTGAAGCAGGCCAGGATTCTGTCCGGGGTTTAGGGTTTAGGGTCTCGGGGGCTGAGGGTTTACGGGCTGCAGCACGTGCAGGAAGCAAACATCGGTCACCGACAGGGCTTTGGGGCGCTGGGCCTAGGGATCCGTTTTGAGTTTTGACGTTTGAGCCAAATTCCGGCGCTTTTGGCTTTTTGATTCGAACAGCAGAATAACATCTAAATTCGAGCTTCAACCGTTCCATCATTTCAAAAACCTTCGATCTGCAGAACTCGGAGAGAGAATCTTGCTATTGCAAAAGGTCTAAACTGGCGGTAGACTACACGATGGAATTACATATCCGAATGCATGCCGGATCCATACCAAAGAGCTGAAATTCAAAACACTGACCCCAAAAACTCTCAGGCCGTGGAAAGAATTGGATTCGACTTTACACCAGCACAGGCTGACGGCTGCCAAACCAGCCGAACTTCGCACGATGCTTTTGTCAATGTATGTCAATGCATTCCACCTTATTCGCCCCGGCGTGATCTGCAAGATTTGCAATTCGTCATCGGATGTTTTGCGAGAAACGAAACCATAGTTCCCTCACACTTCACCCGGCAAGGTAGCCAGGAACTGCGTGACTCCATTGCATCAAGTGTCGCAGATCTTCCGGCAGGTGCCCTGTTTGAAGCGACAATACTCCACCACACCATTTGCCACCGACTACCCTCAGCAAGACCACATTCCTGAGCATGCACCGCAGCGAAACACACACAAGCGCAAGTAGCGTCGAAGTGGTTGAGTATTGGCGAGGCACGGCTGGTCTTGCGACTCGAATCGCCAAAGCGATGCGGCAGCTTCTCTGACAGCAACGTAGCTGGAGGCTACGTCACGGACACCTGACGGAGATGCGTGATCTCTAGCCTCTCCAGCGCTGCTGCGGCGCCGTACCTGCTACAGTTAAGAAGCCGCCGACTGCTGCAAGCCGGCCGTCCGAGTGGCCTCTGACATCTCACAAAAGGCAAAGGCGTCGAGCTACGCGGAAAAGCTCTCGCCAATGGCACCTTCCAAGCTCAGGAGCCCAGATTTCAGAACCCAGCGAGCTGCGCGGGAAGCCAGGCGGTGGCCGTGCACTCGCAGGCCCGGCTCGCCCTCCGGCCTGCTGCAAGCTGAAATTAAGCTCATTCAAATTCAATCAAGCCTAACATGGAGAAAGGGGATGAAAGGGGAGCAAGTCTCTGAGAGGTGTTGCGAATAGCGAGGAGTGACCATAGGAGCCGCCTATCCGCTGGATTCCAGGTGTGGGCTGCCAGCATACAGTCAGGGCAACTTCCGCCTCACAGAGTACGCCGAGACTGCTGGCAGCTGTGTTGCGTTTTCCTGTGGTGAGCATCAGAATCCGACTGCTATGGACTCCAGGGCCTCCCAGCACTTTCAACTCCACCATGGCCGTTGGCACCGTGGGCTCCAGCGGCCTTCCTGGGATGGTCCCGGCACAAACGCCACGGAAGCCATCCTGGGTTCAAGCGCTCTGCACCAAGCCTGACATGGGTTGACATATGCTGACATGCTGGCATTGTCGATTCACCTCATGGTTTTGCTCAGGTTCCTTTGCAATCTCGAAAGCCAGCTTGCGATGCTGCCTGTTGCAAAAGACAAGCAATGGAGGACACCAGATTGAGGACACGGGCGCAAATCGGTTTGCAACAGTGTCCCAACCAGACCCAACCAAACTTCAGCCTGGAAAGGGATAGCAAGCCTTTGTTGTTGAGACCTCGTGGCCGCAAGGCCATGTGATGGCCGAAGGGAGAATTCGTGATTTGATATCCCACCTGGCAGACTACACAGATGTGAAACGTGCAACTGCGCATGCCTACAGCCCTGCCCCACCGCCACTTGCTCCATCCATGCACCAGTGACCGTGAACATGGGAGGCACCGAGAGCCTTGGCAGTGCAAAACTCAACGCGAGGTTGCGCTGGCCGTTTTGTGCGGCCGTGCCACTCCTGCCGCTGCTGGTTGTCCTCCTCAAGGAGGGCCACGTCCACGCGCGAGTCTGCAAACTGCCACAGTGCCACCCCAGCGAAGCCAGCAGCCATGCTGGCGGCAATCGTTGCGCCTCTTGCACATCGAGTGGTGATGGGGTGACGTGCGGCGACTTACGCCTAACTAGCCGCGCCTACAATGGCCGCTTGCAAGTCTTCCGACCACATCTCCTGGCACATCATGTGGCATTTGATTCAGAATTGCAGCTTCATGTAAGGTCATTCGGCACAGCTGTCCAGGCCCGCGCCGGATGCATTTGCTGGCCGCCGGAAGTTGGACAAACCGCTGGCCCCGGCTTCGGCAATGATCACGGCTTTGCCTCAACTTTCAACAGACGTGTCGAAACATGTTCCAAACGTTTCAAAACACTTCTTGCTTGCTGGCTGCTCTCCCTCTCGCTCTCGGCAAGCATAATCCCCGAAAAGGCCGCGCCCACATCTCTCCTTCTCCCTCTCCTTGTTCCTCTTCCTCCTCTTCCTCCTTTTCTTCTTCCGGGTTTGATGGCTCCCCTCTTTCATGATCGGCGTGAGACTACGGACATCTGCCTGGCAGGGGCAGCATCAGCAAACTCCAGTTACAAATTGTTTTTCCTTTGTAGAACGCGGCATTGTGTAACTTCAGCGGAACGCTCCGCAGTGTCACGTCAACGTTTCCCCCTGAACCCCTGCTGATGTCCCATATGTAGTGATACATTATATTCACATTATATTGATATATGGTCATTGGCTATATTTATGTGAAGTGCTTTCAAAACATGCATTATTTCAAGGTCGACATGAGTTTGATCAGTTTAGACCTTGCAAATTGAAATCATGATTGTTTAAAAATAAAATTCCGAACAAAAAATATAATCAAAGATTGATCAACAATTTCTAGTCTCGTCCTCTGTCTTCCCATTCTTCTTCTTCGTCTTCTTCTTCTTCTTCTTCGTCTTCGTCTTCGTCTTCGTCTTCGTCGTCTTCTTCTTCTTCTTCTTCTTCCTCTTCTTCTTTCTCTTCTTCTGCTTCTCATGCACGACTCTCAGCCTCCGCCACCCTGCAATGAGTGCATGACCCGGATGGTGAACTCGTGCCCAGTCAGCGTAGCTCTGCCAGATGGAAGGGATCTCCGACACAGCCGCATCGTACCAGCCTCGAGCGGCCCGTTACGAAAGCGGGGGGGGGGGTGAACTGCTTTGGGCTTATGTTGGCTTTTGCCACCTAGCCATCTGACACTCCCACCCCCGAGCATCTCGTTTACAGGCAGAAAACCAAAAACAATGTCATAAAACTTCAAGATTTTCGGCAGCTGAGCCCAGAAGTCACGAAACTAGGAGACACAAGGAATAAAACAGAAAACGAACAATCCCACTTGCCCTTTCACGGATATTCATGGCCTGGGTAGTCATTGAAGGCTATGACATCGGCCAGGTCGAGGGTCTCGTCTCGCAGCTTGTGCCTGGAGCGGTCAAACTATCTTACATCTATCTTACAAAGCAAGCACGAGCCCTCCACTCCAGTGCCTCGAGGCCCAAGACACGAGACGCGAAGGGTCTTTCAACTTTGCGAACTTTGCCAGCTGTTGATACGCTTCCCTGGAAGCCCCAAGGTTCGCCTCGCCTTCGTTCAGAAAGCCCCAGAGGATGACCTGGAACGCGCTTCGGGGTCACTATGCCTCTGTGTCACATCCTTTCTCCTTTCAAAGACAGTTCACGTGCGCTCAAGCTACGGCAGCTCGGCCCACACCTCTGAAAATGTGTCAAGCCACGCTGGGGTGGTTGATGGAAGCATCGATTGTCTCATCCAGAGCCTTTATTTGCTGGCTCATGAAGAGGGGGTCTTGCAGGTCTTCCAAGCTGGGCTGCCACGCCACCGTCTCCTCCCAAACCAGCAAACCGTATTCGTCACAGAGGTCCAGGAAGCGCTGGTCCTGGCTGTAGTGGGACCCACGGACAAAGTTTGCACCAAGCTCCTTGAGCAGGTCGACGTCCTGCTGGAGCTGCTCGTAGGTCATGAAGATGCCCCCCAAGGGGTTGCTCTCGTGCCGGTTCACCCCGAGCAGCATGATGGGCTCGCCATTGATGCGGATCTGGCCATCCCTGGCCTCCACTCTGCGGAGCCCGAAGCGCACCTCCATCGCATCGACTTGCATCCCCTCTGAAAACAGGACCACCGTGAGCTTGTGGAGGTGTGGCTGCGAGGGTGTCCACAGGCGTGGCTGCGGGACCTGCTCCGTCCACTGCATCAGCTTACCGACCGGCCGTTCGGGACCCAGGAAGGAATGGTCATCAAACCGAAGCTTGGCTGCCATGCCTTGTCGCACAAGAAGACTTGCACCAGGCTAACATTCGCGCGCCGAGGCTACAACTTGTGTTCGTGTTCAAGCTGCGGCCGCCACAACCTTCTGACAACTTCAGCGTGACCTGCACAGGCAGAAAGAACAGCTGCAACACCGACAGCGTGACCAGATGAAGTTTAGGGCACAGCCTGTACGCTGTCATGGCTGCCTCCTTCTCCCACTGGGACCACGGACAGATGAGAAATGTGCTTTGTGGGCTGCGGCAGGATGTGGGCCTGCAGTCAATCTGACTTCCTTTGCCACGCCCTCTTCTTGTGACAGTGGCAACTGTCGACCAGCCTCGACAGGTCGCAAAAGGCCTGCCGCAATAGTCACAAGGAAAAGAAGCACAAGCGACAACCCCAGCTCACCCCCACATTCCAGACCGCAGATTCTCTCTTTGCCTCCAACACTTGACTCACTTGACCTACGCCCCATGGAGTTCAAGAATGCCCAAGCTACAGACATGCGACATCGTGAGACAGCCTTGGCGGCTCACAGACACAAACACACACACACACACACACACACACACACACACACACATACATGTACTGATTGTGGGTTGCATTCTCGACACCGCAGCGTATAAGTGTTTTTGTCCAAACCTGACCTACCCGTGGCTCATGCGCACGCTGACACTGTACAATATATTCACGAAGTGTCGGGCTTGACGTGTGATGCGCAACTGCGGTGTGCCATGTTGTGCTTGTAGAAGAAAAAGGTCACGCCGGCACATCTCGGTACTCGAGCTTCTCTCACACTCGGGGGCCTCCAGGCTGGAGCCAATCGAAGGTTTGTTGATGCACTGGGACTTCCTGCGCAAAGCGGCTGTCCGCAAGCACCAGAAGCTCCTGCCATTCGTCGATTGCATCACCGCATGATGACACATGTCATTTCGCATGCCAAGCTGGGTCATGTCTTGCCATGAATGTAAGCGTGGCAAGGGTGCCAAGCCAGCCGCACCGTGGAACTCAGCGAGGCTGACCCAGAACGGGCTGTATCCCCCTACATGCCTCGCTTGCGTTCACAATCGTTTGCAGAGCACACCGCGCCCATGTGGCAGCCACCACTATGATTGCCGTGTCTATGGTTCACTATGGTTCAGGCGAGAATCTCAGATACCATCGTGCGATTGATGAAAATTGCACAGCGCATAGAGCAGGCATGGAAGCGTAGCAAGCTGACAGAACCGGGGAGATGGATGCGATAAGCAGCGACCCCCAGTCGTCCGAGCGCAACCTCCACTTCCGGGTCGCTGCAGGTCACAACACCATGCTGACCATTGCCTGCCCACATCTACCATAATCTACCTAACTTCTACCTATCTGCGGCCACGGATCCGGGTCGCAGCAGCTTCTGTCGATTTCACAGCTCTCGCCAAGGCGCGAATCGCAGCAGCGAGCGCACGGCTTTGTGGCCCACTCCGGGCACGCATGTAGAGGGCAAAGCCATTCCCTCCCAGGAAAGCTTGCCGTCAACATATGTCAAGGGCAGCGCTTCCACTCAGTGCACAGAAGCAACTTGCCTGGCATTGAAAGGATCAGGAACCCAAACTTGCCGCCGTAAATCTTCTTCCCGGACCCATGCAGCAGATGCAAAAGGCACGTCACCCAGGAAAGCAAAGTCCCACGGTCCTCACAGGAAAGCGTGAACGTTCTGAAGCTGCCTGGGCCTGCAACAACTGCATACTATCAAGCACTGCACCTTGACTATCTTCAGTACCACAAGCCTGTGAGGGTCTGAACGTGGCGCCCAGGATAGTGCGGGAATTGCGTCTCACCGGTCCACGAGCCAACGAGCACAGGCAAAGCAGCTGCCCATCGCATGGGGAAGCTCTCCGAGGCTCCGAGTACTCCCTAAGGGTTTGGTGCTCTGTCATGCTCACAGCATTTGGCCTCATGGACTTTCACGAGGAAAGTGTGCTGCAAGGTGGCATATGCATGGAAGCTTCAAGCTCTCGGCGGCAGTGCGGCGATTTTGGTGCATGTGTGATCATGCGTGTAACCGGCAGCGCTGAGATGTGCTGAGCGAGCCAGCCCGCTCTTCCACCACTAGCCCAATGAACTCTTTTGTCACGTCATCCTTAGCGATGATGCGATCGCTATCAAATATGGCTCTGCGTTGCAAGTGTTACACCAGTTCGGGCGAGCACGAGCACAAACTTTAACGGCTCGAAGAACATCACAGGGTGCTCCTGATGGCACCAGCCCGACAAAGTGAACCAAAAGCATACTCGGCCTTGGCTCTGAAATATCTTGCAGTAGCACTTAGGACACCTGGAGGTCTTGGAGCACCTCCTGCGCTTCGTCGCTTATGCTGCCTTACACGAGGCACCAACACCCTTTCCGAGAGCATCCGATGAGCACCCAATGACCCAGGCGCCTCCCAGCCCTCCAACTGAGTCCGCCGCGCTGCTTGTCTCTGTACGAAGTCAACTCCCGGAGATAATCCCGACCTGGCCCAAGGGTGCATAGCCAGCTAAGAAACTCGGAAATGCTGAGCATCTGAGAACCAGGCGCATCAAGTTCAGCTTGCGGCTCAACCTATATGTGGCGTTTCTAACCAAACTGGCACAGCTTTCATAAGGGCTGCATCAAGCCACCTACTACACACCCCGCATCATAGTGCGGGCGCGCATTCACACAATAAAGCAGCTTCCATCAATAACCCGTGCAGCTGAGCAACTCCATGTTGGTCTGCACTAGCATTTTGACCTGACCTTGCGGCTCCTGCGTTTGTGACGTGACGGGTCGGAAAAGCAACAGACATTTCAGCTGAGTTTGTCCTTTGGCATCGGCAGGCCATTGTCATCCAACGATTCGTCGACGTTCAAGACCGCATGGAGCACGTGCCCAGTGATCTGCCAACAATGGCACATGTCTGCGAACACATCCAAAGTGCGGCTGGTAAGCTCGCGGCCCTCCACGTCATTTCACACAGGGGCTCGTACAAAGAGTTTGGCCTGAGCCGCACTTGTTATATCGGAACCAGAAGCCATCTGTCTGTGTTGCACGCTCTCTCAACAACCGCCGCATGTTCCTTGAACTTTTATGCCCTGCACCGGTCCAGGCATGCAAGACCTGCGAACGTTGCGCTTTTCAAGCGCTCGGAACCACCATCACGGGCACACAGTCTCAGAATCCTCGGACGTGTAGCCTGCGGATGCAACACGACGCAACCTTGCAATTTCAAGGCAGGGCATTCCGCCAGCTGCTTGACCACCACTCAGCGTCAACGAAAGAACTTGATGCCAACTGCTTTGGCTTGACATGGCGACTGCGGCAAAACTAACTCGACGGCGAAGTTTCTCAGTGCATCAGACGTCACTCTTGATCTTCAGCTTGTCGGTCCTTGTAGTAGCCGAGGCCTGACCAAGCCATTGTCTGTTTAAGCAACCGGAGGGCATGGCAGAGAAGGCGTTCCTTGCTTCAGTTGGGGGGCGGCCTTCAGTCAGTCTGGCTTGTGGTTCGGCACGCTTACATCACACACTGCCGCGTTCTTATCTGTAACACAGACCTCTTGCCACAGTTCACGCATGCCCAGCACTCGTACACTGTTGCGTCCTTAGCCATCCCTAGTCACCAGTCTTGAAGAGCTGATTTGTAGTGCTCCCATGGCCCATGGCCAGTGCCTCTGTGGTCCAGCTTGTAAACCCAACCGGGTCGAGATCCGCAGAAGCGCGCGCTTTCTGCAAAGTCATCTTCGCTGTACCTGGGACATTACGCATCTCACGCCTCCCCACTGCGAAAAAACTCACCAAGCTGACTCGAATTCAAGCATCCTCGGGCAGGCACGTCTTGCGAGGGACAGGCGGTGCTGGAAGCAGCATGGCTTCGAAACGCGGCTTTGCAAACCAGTAGAAACCTCACACTGAATGAGAACTAACCCGAAACGCAGCTAAACCCAACCTGCAGCATTCTGTCCAGTTGCTGTCCCAGATTCCAAGCGCGATTCCTCCCGTAGCGACGGCTCCAGCGACTTTCGATGCCTGTTTCCGCAGTGCGCCCGACAGATGAAGTTCAAAATGTGCCCACTCCTATTTGGCACGACCGAGCCTGGCTAGAACCTGCCATCCTGCAGTTTCATAGGCGCTCTACACCCCATCCAAGTTTGACAGGTGCTTGAGCCGAAATTAACATGCTGTTCAGATTTTCCGACACAAGACACGGATGGACATGTCAAGGCCGATGCGTCAAAGGGCCATTTGCTGCCATCATCCTGATGCGGTGCCAAAAACGACATGGGCTCCCTCAGATCTTCGTGCATCTGTGGCAGTCCTTGCCCGCAGACGTTTGGCAAACAGCTGCACAATGTTCACCAAGTCCTCATGTCAATTGTCGATGGAACACTAGGCACTGGCAACTGCGGCAGCGCACAAATACACGTTGGCGATTTTTCTTCGCATGCACGCTGAGATTAAGCTCAAAGATTATGCCACGGCACATGCGACGCATTGTCTCGTCGCCTGTGCACATTTGGGTGGCCATAATTTTAAAAGGGTGGGTGCCGCACTTTTCCTACGTGAAACAAATTCGCATGGGCAGGGAGCTCAACCGTTTCCACACACAGTTGCGCAATAGCATTGTCATAAGGATCTTTACCTTACTTTTCCCTCTGTTCCGATTGCGAACTGTGTGGCCCCGGTTTGCTCATACCAACCCGACAAAACCTGCTCAGAACAGGAATGAAAGCGGCGGCCTTGCGCAAGGAAGGGAGATGAGCGAAGCTGAGAGGCTCAAGCCAGGATTGTAAAAACCATCTGGCGCATGACCGCAGAAAATATTGGGATTTGAACGGGCCCATCACGACGCCTTGTGTTTCTTGTTTTTTCCTCGTACCTTTTTCCGCCCGCAGAAGACGAGTCCAAGTCCGGGCGGAGCCTACGGACCCAGGCGGCTGGGCACGGGCTCCAGCGCCGGGAGCGGCGCGCCGGGCATGGCCCCAGCGACGTATGGTGCGCCGAGCGGTGTGCCAGCAAGCGTGCTTTGCAAGGCCACACTCAGCAAGCCCCACCCCTGCGCAGCAGCCTCTCGCAGGGCAGCTGGGGCTCGCTGGGCGCGAAGCCGGACGAGCTGGGCGACGAGACGAAAATTTGCACTCCATCGCTCACAGGCCAGGACGCAAAGCCGCTGAGGCCCGCGTAGGCGACGCGCTTTGTGCCTCTCAGCGATCGCGGCGCCGTCGCAAGTCGCACGCGTCAGGGGGGCACGAGTGTCACGTCGCTGCAAAGTTCGCCGTGCGGGGCGGCCCCATATGCCATTATTGTTATTTCTCGGTCCTGTTTCGCCTGCATGCCGTCCATCCGAAGTCTGTACGACTACCGTTTACATGTCACAAAGTCGAGGCGGCGGTCAGCAGGGTCCACGCCTGGGGCAGACGTCCTGGCCAGCCACTGCAGGACGACTTGGCCGACTACGCACCCATGCGTGCTCGAGCGGTTTGGCTCTGCGCATGAATGGCAGCGCAGCGGGGCCTGTGCGCGCCAGCCGCCGCTGTCGCATGGTTATGAGCATGCGGTCGGGCGGCAGGGCCGCTTCAGCCTCGGGACGGCACTGAGCCAGGTCGCGCGTACGGCCTGGCTGTCCGGACCCCCGGTCGTTTTTGGGCTTCCTCTCTGAACGCAGCATCATCTGAGCAGGCGATCGCAAAGCAGGCAGCAATTCGGTCTGGCGGAAAAGGATAAAGCAATTTTTTCCTCCACCTTTTTCAGCTGTCCTCGCGGTCCCGGCGCGCAATCTTCAGCGGGGCGACCGCTGCGCAGGCGTATTGTGGTCAGCGCGAAAGACTAGTCGAACCATCTAGTATTGCTGGTTCCCTCCGAAGTTTCCCTCAGGATAGCTAGGGTTGAACAGTTCTATCAAGCAAAGCGAATGATTAGAGATTAGAATCGGGGACGCGTTGTCTTCGAACTATTCCAAAACTTCTAATGGGTAAGATCCACAGTGGTTACTTGATTGAACTTCTGGGATAAATCAAAACTGTAAGTGGGCCGTTTTAGGTTATGCGCAAGCGTGGACGGCTGGCGATTGGGGGGGCCTCGGAGGAATCGGCGAGGAGGTCGCTGAGCAAGGGGGCCTCTCCGTCGACATTGGCGGTCCCGCGAATGTGTCTGGAGAGCAAAATGGCAGCGAAGGCTCTAGCCGCAACGAAGGCGAGGAGGGCTGACCAGCGAAGCACAAAAGCGGAGGTGCATGCGGCCCGGGTGGCAGGCGGGGCCGCGCGGGCTCGGCATCGCGCGAGCTGTCTCACAAATGAGTTTCGGCATTCCACTGGCCCCCAACTTCGATGTTTAGCCCTGCGGGCTGCGAGCAGTGTTGCACCTACCGTCCGGCCCGCGGCTCAACGAGGCTCGGCCCGCAGCTCGACGAGGAGACGAGGGTGGTGTCGACGGCGACCTGTGCCCCGCAGTGGCTGTCCGTTGGCGATGACCGGGCTCGGCGCACGAGGACATGCTCCCGCCTCACGACAGACCCTGGCGGCAGCGCGCTCGAGAGGGCCGCCGCAGGTGGCCAGGTGGTCACCTAGCTCATCCTGGCGGGCACCACATCGGCATCGGGCAGCAACTAGGGGAAGCCTCGGCAGGCGACTGGGGCTCGCAGGGGAGCATCAAGGCTGGCTGCGACCAGTGAGGCGCGGGACCGCGAGGAGCCAGAGTAAGGAAGGGGGGGGGGGGGTGGGGCGGGCCTTTGCTGTAGAGCCTGGCAACGAGCTCTTCAACAAATGCCGGGTCACGGTGCTGGATCACACGGATCGCGTCGGCCCAAGACGACCAGTACGTTGCTGGGCATGGTAAAGAGCGCGTCGCAAACCAAGGCCGATATGGGATAGTGCGCGCCACTGTGGCCTGCGGGAACATAAGCCAGCCCCCCCCCCCTCTCTCGTTCAAGCCCCCCCCCCTCTCTTGTTCAAGGGCCCCCCCCCCCCCCTTGGCCAATTGACCCATTGAAGGCCCCCCCCCTTTATCAATTTTGATAACATTTCGATTTCCTTTAATAGAATTTAACAAATGCAAAATGTGGAATTTTATTTAATAGGGAGCAAGGGTTTCTAGCTTCTATTAGTGGCATTTCTATTTCTTTTAATACAAGTATTCTTAATAGGGTTTCACTTGATTTTGATTCAAGTTTTAATAGGGTTTTTTTTCACGCACCTTTTTCCGCAGGTCGTCCCAAGCCCCGGTCCCTGCACAAGCCTATGCGTCAGCTCACGCTGCGCGCGGCGCGACTCGGCTCGTGGCGGGAGCAGCAGTCCTTGGCACTCACCGTGCAGCGGCAGCTCCAGCAACGACATTGCAAAGGCGACGGAGAGAATGCCACTCCAGCGCTGTGCACCCAGGCGCCGCAGGCGGTAGCACGTAGGGCCGCAGGCGCCCCGCCGCACGTGCGCGTGCGAGTAGGCGGACGAACTGGGCTGCCTCGCGCGACCAGCGGCCGCCTACCTCGCCCGTCCGCAACAAGGCGGCATCGGCGCGCCCCTTCCAGTTCAGGGTATGTCTGGCGGCGCTTGCGCTGGGCGGCTTGGTCGAAGGCCAGAGCCGGACGGGTATCTGCACCGGCTCGTGGCTCGCCGGTCCTGATTCTAATCGGGTTAGATTTTTTCATACTTTTGAAAGATTTTAATAATATGAATGAGGTCTTTATTCCTTCTAATAAGATTGGTATTACGTTTAACGGGATTCGTATTAAAATAATCGTTTTCCTTCTCGAATTAAGTTCAACTCCTATTACAATTGATTGAACTGCAATTTGAAATCTTGTTTTGTTAATCGCAATCGTCTTGAAATTAAAAAGGCTTTTCTATTTTTTTTCCCCCGCACCTTTGTCCGCCGAATCCGCCGTCCCAAACGCCTACTGGCCGGAAGCCCGACGACCTACGGAAGGCTCACCGTGGAGGGAGCCGACTGGGCGCCGGGTGCTCGGCGAGGTCGAGCACCGTCGGAAGCCCGACGACCTACGGAAGGCTCACCGTAGAGGGAGCCGACTGGGCGCCGGGTGCTCACAGCGAGGTCGAGCACCGTCGCTAGAAGCTGTGCGTCAACCTGCCCTGGGAGTGGGGGCATCGTCCGCTCGCCCAGCGCGGCGCTGCACAGGGCGCGCTGCACGGCTATAGCAGCCGCTCGAAGGACGGCCGGTGCTCGGTGCGCGCGCAGTCGGATGAGCTGCTTGAGCAGACGTTGGGACTCGTCGTTCCACCGCCCTCCGACTTCGGCAGCCAACACGCACAGGCGCTGTGGCCCCCCGAGGGAAAAGTTCAGGGTAGCGCACAGGTTTGCGTCGTGCAGCTGCCTCTAGTGCGGCACCGTCGCGGTCAGCGGCGCCGCGGGTGGGTCTGCCATCCCGCCCGAGCGGGGACACGAGCGTCGCGTCACAGCAAAGGGCTTCGCCACGCTGGGTTGCGCCATAGATGACAAGATCAAGGCGCCGTCGGTCATCCGGCCGCACACCGACAGCGGTTTTTTTTTTTCGCGCCTTTTTGCAACTGCAGACGACGGTCAGAGGGTCGACCCTACAAGAGGCGCTCGCCCCGGGGCTGCCTAGTGCTGGGGCAGCGGCAGGCGGCTGGGTTGCGGGGGCGCCAGCCAGCGTGCGTCGGCCAGGACTTCGTGTAGGTCTGGCGTCGTTCCGCCGACGCACTCCCTGGCCAGCGGCAGCTCAAGAAGGGAGCTGGCATACGCGCGCTGCGCCGCCACCGCCAAGAACCCAGCCCAGCGCGCGACCCACGCCGCTTGCGCCGCCGGTCTGAGTGCGGCGGGGACACCGTCGGCCCGGTGCCGGGCCAAAAGGCGGAGGAAGCGGGCGGCCTCGGCACCAAAGCGGCCACTTACCTCGACCCCGACGACCACCAAGCGGCAGCGCCGGGCGCGCGCTAGCTCGGGGTACGTCTGCTGTCGCTTACAGCGCGCTGCGGCGTCGACGGCCTGGCCGGGGCGAACATCGGCGCCCGGCTGCGCCTCCCCCCTGCGGGTGACGGGGCTGACGATGGTGGCGTCAACGGCGAGCTGCGCTCCGTTCCACAGCGACAAGCCGTTGGCCACAACCTCAATGCGACGTGCGTCCGCGATGGGCACATCGACATTCATATCTGCCAGGCGCACGTTGTGGCACACCCGCCCTCCCGCTTCCCGGCACAAGGCATCCAAAAGCTGCAGCGGGAACCGCAGGCGGCGTAGGAGCAGCACCCGGAACTGGGCCGGCGGGATCCGGCGGGATGAGGAGTTCCGTGGCAGTCGGCCTTACTGTGAGGGCACGCCCGGCGTGCGGCCCGGCTTGCGATAGCACCAGCGCACGAGATGCGGTGTCAAGGTCCGAAAGGTGCATCTCGAGC